TACGAGCCTACAGACACAGCATAAAGACAGTATTACAGTGTAACCCAACAACCATCATTTCTCTTTCATCATAAAAAGTAAAGCCATTTGTTTTCAACCAAGTAGCTTTTCATTCTAAAAATGTGTCCCAGAGAACATATTCTTGTCACCCAGCTCAGGCATATTTAGTTTGCTTTATGGGCAGCAGCCTGAGTAATTGACAAGTGGCCACCCTCTGGAACTAGCAAAAATAGTTTAATATAAAAGCATAACAACTTCATCTTTCCATGGAATCTATAGCCCAAACACTACTTGACAGTAGTCTGTAGGAACACAAGATGGAAATTACTAAGTTCTTTCTTTTAGCTACTTGCAACCAACAAAATTCAGCATTATTTCACAACAGATTCACTTCACCACTTGCAATTATTCCTGGAGAACACAAAGAGAAGCAGGAAAACCTGCTACACAGTAGGTCGAATGAACATAGGGAAACATGGAGGACACCTCTTCAGTAACAGCATCCCAAGATCCCACATGTCCACATGGAGGGCATAAGCCACAGATAATCTAATTCCTATACATAAACCCCTCAGAGAGTAACTTCATAGAATCCCAGACTGGTTTGGGTTGGAAGGGACCTTAATGCTCAACCAGTTCCAACCCCTTGTCATGGGCAGGGACACCTTCCACTAGAGCAGCTTGCTCCAAGCCCCTGTGTCCAACCTGGCCTTGAACACTGCCAGGGATGAGGCAGCCACAGCTTCTCTGGGCACCCTGTGCCAGCACCTCAGCACCCTCCCTGACCTGCTGCTCACACTGTACGGGTGCAGCCCAGCACACAGAGGGGGTTCTGGGCTCGAGCACACACTGAAGCAGGGTCATGGGGAGCTTTGTCACCCAACAACCCAAATCCTTCCCCTCAGCGCTGCTCTCAAGCTATGTGCATTTAATTTACATACCCTGTGCTTTTAAATTAACCGTCTGAATTTAGCCATTCAAATTTGGGAGTTGCACTGCAGAACTTCCTCAAGCTGCTAACACACTCTGAAGGAAAAGAGTTCAACAGTCTGACGACCATTCATACCTCCTGCAGCACAGCACTCTTCTCCAAATGCTGGAAAGGATTAGAGCCACTACCTGAGGAACAAAAGAGACCTCTCAGTTAAGGAAATGCATTCCTCACAAAAACAAAACAAAAAAAAACCCCAAAACAATAAAAACCCAAAGAACTGGAGGAACAGCCCTTAAACTTTACAAAAACAGCTCATGCTACAGTGAAATCCCTCTTGGAATAATTGATGGTGTCCACCATCAACTTTGAATCCACTTTCCTCAGCTGTATATTCAAAGGTACAGGAGGAAAAAGTGTGGGGGGAGCAGTACCAACATAGCTGGAAGGTAAGGAAGAAGAGTGTAATACCCCCTCTTTACATAAAGCCATTTATTCTAGTTTTTCCTAGTGCCCCTATTTTTATTCCTTCAGGCACAGAAAGCACTTCTGACATGGACAGAGACAGAGCTTCTGATCTGGATCTCAAACAGAAGTGCATCAATCAATGCTCCACTAAAATGGGCTACTCAGCAAACTCTAAATATAATCTGGCTCCCACACATCACAAAATCATTAGCAGCAGAGTATCCTCATCCTGTAACTCTGGCCTTTCAATAGGCCAGAACCAGCTCTTAAGAGTAATTACTTATTGGTGATGACACTTCTCTGTCGGCAGCAGACAGCAGCCTTCTAATCCACATTCCCAGTGAAACCAGCCCTCACGGCTGCTGTTGCAGACACATAAACCCCTCCAAACCCTCACTACTGCTTCTAACCCTTTTCCTCCAGCAGAAATTTTTCCTTTTCACTCATTTAGTCTTCAGTTCTTACACTCAAAGCAAAAGGAAATTGAGAACGAAATGGATCTCAGTCCAGCTGGGCTAAGAAGACCTATCAACAGCAGCAACAGATAACTCAAGACAGCATAGAATCACAGAACGGTTAGAGTTGGAAAGAACCTTAAGATCATCTTAAGCTGCTCACGCTCTTGGGGTGCAGCCCAGCACACGGGCCGGTTCTAGGCTCAAGCACACACTGAAGCCGGGTCATGCTCAGTTTCTCATCGACCAATACACCCAAATCCTTCTCCGCAGGGATACTCTGCATCACTTCTCCACACAGTCTGCAGCATCAGTTACTACAGGCAATCTAAACTTCATTTCCAGACGATTTTATGGACGGAAAAAGTACAAGCGATGGTCTTATCCACAACAACTCTGCCTCACGGGATGGTTTTATCCCGCCCACAGGGTACTTTAATCCAGCCGGTGCTAACGCAGCCCAAACCCATGCAGCCAGCTGCTGCCCAGCTTACCAGACGGAGCGCAGACCCCGACCAAGCCCTCTCCTTCTTCTGCTATGAGGAAGGAACAAACCCAGCCGCAGCCCGCAGGCTTGCGGGGAACAGCTTCCCTCCAAGCGTGGCCCCAGGGGCGGGTGCGGGCCCTGCACCCCACAGACCGTCCCGAAGAGCCGGGGGAGGCTCAAAGGCCTGGGCACAGAAAGCAAACGGTGCTTCCTTCCCCAGCTGTTACCCCCTCGCCTCAGCGGCCATGACTTCCTCCCTCACCTCAGCGGCCGCTACAGGCCGCGGGACGCTCTGAGCGCCTAACGATCGCTCTGCACAGGGCAGTGCCGCCGTGCCCCCACCCCGCAGCTCAGCCCCGCCGCCGCCAGCCCCATACCGGACTCCTCGTCCTTCTTGTCAAACTTCTTAATCATGGCGCCGCCCGTCACCCTCTTCCCTCTGAGCCGCACCGACGCGGGGACGCCCGCCGGAAGTCCCGCCTCCTCAGGGCACATTCTGCGTTCTGATTGGGCAGCGGAGCTGTCGCTCAACCCCATAAGCTGCTGAGGTGAGAGAAGACCCCATAGGGGCTGAGGCAGGTCCGGGGGTGAAGCGCTCCTTAAAGGAGCCGCGTCGCTATTTTGTGGGGAGGTGTTTTGGGTCTGTCTGTCTGTCTGTCATCGACAGAGCCCGTCAGTGCAAACTACACGCACCCTGCATCCCCCTTCTCAGCACCTTCACCCAAACACTGAGCTGTCTACTTCAGCAGTAATGGCAGTCCCTTGCTGCTGTGCCCTGAGGTGGTCACAGCTTCCCTCCTCATTATCACTTACAGAAATAATACAGGTGGAAGGTAGTTGACATTAATACCTCGGTCAGGTCTTTCTGACAAATGGAGCAGAAAACTTGGGATGGGATCCCTGAAAATCCCCAGAGATGGGGCAGATCCCCCATTCTGGCACCATTCCCCACAGCGATGGCTGATCCATGAGGTACCAGAGAGGTCTGTTGGGTTGTGGGTGCTACTGAGCTGCTTAGCAGCCACTGTCCATGATGGAAACCATCACTGCAAGGCACAGGGATCATAGAATCATAGAATCATAGAACAGTTAGGGTTGGAAAGGACCTTAAGATCATCAAGTTCCAAACCCCTGCCATGGGCAGGGACACCTCGCTCTAAACCATATCACCCAAGGCCTCGTCCAACCTGGCCTTGAACACTGCCAGGGATGGAGCATTCACAACCTCCCTGGGCAACCCATTCCAGTGCCTCACCACCCTAACAGGAAAGAATTTCCTCCTTGTATCCAATCTAAACTTCCCCTGGTTAAGTTTTAACCCATTACCCCTTGTCCTCTCACTACAGTCCCTAATGAAGAGTCCCTCCCCAGCATCCCTATAGGCCCCCTTCAGATACTGGAAGGCTGCTATGAGGTCTCCAACTTTCTCAGCCTCTCTTCATACAGGAGGTGCTCCAGTCCCCTGATCATCCTCGTGGCTTCCTCTGAACTTGTTCCAACAGTTCCATGTCCTTTTTATGTTGAGGACACCAGAACTGCACACAATACTCCAAGTGAGGTCTCACAAGAGCAGAGCAGAGAGGCAGGATCACTTCCTTCGACCTGCTGGTCACGCGCCTTTGGTGCAGCCCAGGATACGGTTGCTTTCTGGGCTGCAAGCGCACACTGAAGCCGGCTCATGTTCATTTTCTCATCGACCAGCACCCCCAAGTCCTTCTCCAGAGGGTCTGATCTGAATCTCATGGAATGGTTTGGGTTGGAAGGGACCTTAAAGCTCCTCCAGTTCCAACCTCTGCCATGGGCAGGGACCCCTTCCACTAGAGCAGCTTGCTCCAAGCCCCTGTGTCCAACCTGGCCTTGAGCACTGCCAGGGATGGGGCAGCCACAGCTTCTCTGGGCACCCTGTGCCAGCGCCTCAGCACCCTCACAGGGAAGAGCTTCTGCCTAAGAGCTTGTCTCAGTCTCCCCTCTGGCAGGTTCAAGCCATTCCCCTTCTCCTGTTCCTACAGGCCCTTGTACAAAGCCCTCTCCAATTTTCTTGTACCCCCTTTAGGCACTGGTAGCTGCTCAGTGGTCTCCTCTCTTCTCCAGACTCAAGAGCCTCAATGTTCTCAGACTGTCAGCCCATTTGCAGTTGATTAACATCACTCAGCTCATTAGAAAGGGGGTTTCTTGGTCATAACTTTAATACCAGGGAAGATTAGAACTCCTGTGAATTTTCTGAGCTGGGGATGGCTGTGATGATGAGTATGTGGTAAGTTCAGAACTTGTTTTAGTTTCGTACAGGTGGCCATTGGGCTGACAGTTTCCCTTCAGATCTAAATCTGATAGGAGGGAGCAGCAGACCTGCCCGAAACACCACAATACTGTAGCTCATAACTTTAGGTCCTTCTCCAAAACCTTCCTCCTGTTGTGCCCTATGGAGAAAGGATTTGTGGGTTTGGAAAGGAAGGAAGGAATAACTTCATTTGTCTGTTGTCAGACCTCCAGCCCAGTCTCTCCCAGGCGTTTGTACTTCTGTTTATTGTGTTCATGGAAATACAAGTCTGATCTCAGGAAAGTGCCTGGTTTGGGGGCTTGGAGGCAGCAAAGGCTCCTGCTGGATTCTGGGAGTGTCCTCAGCTGCCCAGTAGAAGCTATAATGGGGTTTGACTCCCAAAGTGTTGCCCCATTTTCTGCTCTCTTTTAGCCTCACACAAGCTTGAGTAAATGTGTTTAAGCTTTATAGATAACCACCATAAATACTATTTTTCCTCTCTGCTTTTATATGCTGGTATTATATGCTTCTGCAGTTAAAGCCAGGCATGCCAGGGTTCTCTTGGCAAAATGCTGCTGCCTCTCTTTGTCTTTCCCTTTCTAAGATGAGGATCATTTCTCTAACTCCTTATATTCTGTAAGCCTAAAATCTGCTTTGCATTTCTGTCAGTTGGAAGACCTGGAGGTGACCGTGTCTGATCATATTCAGAAGGTTTTAAAGCCAAACTTTGCAGCTGCATGGGAAGAAATGGGAGGTGACTTTGAGAAAGAAGAAACCTTTGCACTTAGTTCCATTCAAACCCTTGATGGTGAGATGATCTCTCCTTCTTTATTGGTGACCCACATAGTAATCCTGGTAAATCTGGCACGCTGGGGATATATTTGGTGCCTTCCAATGGGAAGTCATGTCCCAGCAACAAGGTTTTGTGTTGCAATGCTGGGATTATAGTGAGTGGAACTTTGGCACTGCTCTCCTGAAACTGGGTGGAGGAAGGGGTGTGTTCCTAGACTGTGCAGACATGGCAAAGTAGGAGTATTGATGGGGCTGCAGTCAAGCTGCTGATTGGGAATGGTTAACCCACATAAGTGGTTAGAGGAGAAGAAAGCTTGGCACTAAGCTGGAGGTAATTCTCTCCCTCAATCTCTGCATGCAGAAGCTGTCAATAACATCATCAAGTTCTTGGGCATGCAGCCCTGTGAGAGGTCAGATAAAGTGCCAGAGAACAAGAAATCTCACACGCTCTACTTAGCTGGTAAGTACTCACACTGCAGAGCTCCATGGCTCTGTGTCCCCACAGGGTTTTACTAAAGGGAGGGGAATGGGTTTGGGAGATTCTGCTCTTACTTGGAGAGGTTTTTCTCTGTGTTGATCAGAATGGATGTATTCTGCCTATGGGAATGGTAGTGAATCCTTTGAATGAAGAACTTTCAGAGCAGATACCTGCCGAAGTTCCTTGCCTGTGCTTATCTTGGAAAGGGGTTCTTAGGACCGTCTTACAGACACATCCTGTATTGACCTTCAGTACCCACAGCTTCTTAGGGGAGTCCTAGAGTAATTTAGGTTAGAAAAGACCCTTAAGGTCATTGAGTCCAACCGTTAACCCAGAACTGCCAAGGCCACCACTAAACCATGTCCCTAAGCACCACATGTACATGTCTTCTATATCACTCCAGGGACGGTGACTCCAGCCCTGCCCTGGGCAGCCTGTTCCAATGCCTGAGCACCCTCTGGGGAAGCAATTGTTCTTCAGCTCCATCTAAACCTGCCCTGGTGCAGCTTGAGGCTGTTTTCTCCTGTCCCATCCCTTGTTCCTTGGGAGCGGAGGGAGCAGAGCCCCTCCTGGCTCCATCCTCAGGACTGTATCTCCCTTAAGGGCAAGGGCACTGAGCCAGTGTACTAGCCTTGCAGTGTGTGTCGACTTCTCAAACCAAAAGAAGTGAGCTTCAGCTACCCACTTTCTGCTTTTTACCTATTTAAGTCTGCCAAGCCCTCCAGCAGCACTTGCTGACTCTCTTTCGTTACAGCATTATCTGTTATCTTTGGTCTTGGCCTCAAGAGCTTAGGAGAAATTGGGGGTTTGGGTATTTGTTAGTCATTTCCCCCTTCTCTGCAACTGGCATAGACTCAGTGTTGTCTGTTGATGGCTCCTGGGTCATCTAGATCACTGAGCCTGTCCTAAAGTGATGTCTACAAGAAAATCTCTTCAAGTCATCTCCTAAAGCCACTCTCAAACATTGCTTTGTCCCCTCAGGTGTCTACAGAGGTGGCTGTGATGTGCTGGTGAGGTCCAGGCTCGCGCTCGGAGACGGTGTCACCATGCAGGTGACTGTTAGGAGCAAAGAAGAAACGCCTGTAGATGTCATCCTGGCTTCTGTAGGCTGAGTGTTACAGCCCGACTGTGGTGGAAACCCCCTTAGCGAGCACTGGTTGGGTATTTACCAGCTATCAAGCAGCCTGTCTGCCCTTCTGCATGTAGTTTTTACTCCTCCATTTGGTATATTTTGTACGTTACAGTAGTGGCAATAGGTGGCTGGAACTGAGCCTTTCCCATGTCCCTTCCCTTGTTGTCACTTCTACATTCCCATCTAACTTATTGCATCTCTGGCCACTTGCAGTAGAGCAGGGAAGGGAAAAGAGGCAGGTGGGAAGAAAAATGGCATCAGACTTTTGTCAAAATCGATTTTTATTAATAGAAAATAAAGCCTGGTCCAAGTGGTGGAATTCATCTGAAGTACTGGTAATAAAATAGACATCTCTTGTTCTAGTTCTGGCTGTTTCAGTACAGAAAAAGTAACCCATGATGGCTGCTTACTCAGAAAAAGGCCGTTATTCCTAAAAGGACACTAAGAAAGTTCAAACATGAGCAGTTAAAACCCACACAACTTCCAAGTTTATGGTATCCTGATGCTCCTCTGCTTTGTTCCACATGGAAAAATCAGTGTACAGAGAGATTAACCTTCACCTCCAAAAGCATAGTCAGTGCTGAGCCTTATGTTAATAATCCCAAACACTGGTGTGTGAAACATCCCATATAAAAATCTGCGAAGAGACAGGGAAGGAGGGACATTGTGGTAACTTCCTTATGAGGTAAGTTGTGCATCTCTCGGCTGGTCTGCTGCTCCTTTAGTTGTCAAGTCAGGGTGAGGAAGGAAAGAAGGAATACTGTTCCAATACCACTTTAATTACCTGTCCTACATCCCTGTGGCTCCAGTAGCTATAGCTCACAAGAACCATGGCTTTTGCTAGACCCAAGAACACCGCTTCTTCAGCTTGCCCTAGTGAAAGAGGCATGAGCCTGCCCTGGTGGAGCTACAACCAGGCTTCAGCAAAGCTTCTGAGGTAGTCCCAGGGGTGCAGCATCACTGAGCAGCTCTGCTTGTTCAACTGAACGGCAGAGAAACAAGGGAAGTGGTAAAAACATTGATGTTTAGAGCTTGCCTTTGGGTCATTGGCCATTAAAAAGAGGTTACTGAAGGTAATTACAGTCTTTAAATGCTCCTTTATGGGTGCAGAGCATTATTGCCAGTACTTGGGGGATTACAGATCCAGCTCTCCTGCTATAGTTACTGTAGGCAAACTCTACTTCAAATTATTCAGGCCTGACAAGCTGGTCAAGTATTACAGCTCTTAGCAGAGGGATATCATTTCAACTGCATCCACGGTGGGAGTAGAAGCATCAGATCTTGGCTGCAAGTGGTCCTGGTTACCTGTGTCATGTAGCATGGCCTCACAGTGAAGGCAAATAAGGACTCTTGGAACAGACGTATGTGCTCTTGTTGTCCTTTGAGCTCATTTTTTATCCCAGCCTCATCTTTTCTGGTGCCTCAAGGATTTACCTGCATCAATGCAGCAGTTTGGTAGTTTTGGTAGAGGTTGTTAATGCAAAGTGCTGGATCTGGAGATAAAACATCAAGGTTTCTTCCTGTCCCCAAAGCCTGCCATGTAAACCCAGAACAAGAACTGAGGTGCAGCAGCTCAAAAGGAGTTGATCAAGTTGAGATGAGCATTCAGGAAGCCTGTTGGATCCTCCAGCTGTGGATAGTGGCTGATGTGGTCATCCAGCACAGACACTGTGGACATGGGAAGCACCTTTCTGTTGGGAGAATGCAGTAAGGTGCCACCACTGAAGTAGGACATTACCCACTCATAGTTGTATTCTGTCTGTATCATGGTTTGGGGACAAAAAAGCCTCTATCAGCTATGTTTGACCACTCTTCTAAGGATTGGATTTAACTTCAGGGTAGTCTGGAGGAGAAGACTACCTCAAATCAATACATCTTACCTCTGCTGTGGGTTTCAAATACCTCATTGTTTTGACTGAGAATTGTGACTTTGATGCCTAAAAACCAGCCTCCATGAAAAGGGAATTGAAGGGAAAGCCCCAAGACAAAGTCCTCCCTCAAAATGAACCTCAGTTGTGCTTTCACACTTTGTGGTGGTCATTATCTTACTTGTAAAGCTGAAGGAACTCTGGGTGTGGATTCAAAGGGTCCAGGGGCCTATAGATGAGATGCACTGCAAGAGAGAAGCACAGACAGAGCTTTTATACCCAAGGCCATCCCTAAACTAAGCCAAGAAGACTGTTGCAGGCATCCCAAGCAGTAAACCAAACTGGATTCCTACTCACATGGGACAGAGGTGGACATCAAAGGCCCAACCCAGCATTCTCTGTGCTTCTTTCTCTGGTTTATGTACTGCAAAATACTGAAGAGAAACCTGTTGTTCCTCAGCAGAAGGTGCCCTGAGGAGCTGCAGTGTGTGCCTGTGCGACTGAGGTGGCATCTGCATCTCCCCAGGTCACCTCCTTGGGGCAGCAGCAGCAGCAGCACAGGATCACTCTGCTGGTCATCCCCAGCTTAGTGACTTGCTTAGGGTGGGTTCCTTAAGTGCAGTCAATTCACAGGCCTGCTGGAGAATAACCCAAGTTCATTTAGGAAGGGAGAAACAGCTTGAGTTTGAGGAGATGGGAAGGTAAGGTTTGAATCCTTTCCAGCTGAGATGGAAGCAAATTTGGGTCCTTGGCTCCCAGTTCAATGCCTCTGGGTTGTAAAAGGAGATGAAACATCACCTTTGTGCCAGGCAGTGCAGTAAGTCACAACCAGCACCAAAAGGTTGGTTGTCCTCAAGTCCCTTTAAACTCCATCCTGCTTCACTTGGGCAGCAGGACAGAAAGTGGATCCTACACAATGTCAGGGCAAAATCAGTCTGCTGAAAGCCCACACAGGGTCTTGTGGTGACTCTGAAACCATTTCAGTACCTCACAGAAGAGGAGTCAGCGCTGAACCAGTACGTGTGGAGGAATCTGAAAGGTCATCAGATTCACAGTTTAAACACCAAATTCGAGTCTGTTGGGTTACAAAAATCCTTTCAAGGACAGGAAGCTGCACTCAACAAACGTACTGCTCCTCTGCCACATGGGGTTAGAGATATTTGGGCACTGGCTCTGCTGCCAGCAGAGGTGACACTGCAAAACTGTGCCCCAAAGGGCCTTGCCAAGTGGGGAGTACATCAGCCAGTGCATCCATTGCTGGACTTGGGTGAACATTCCTCATTATCAAGAGGCAACCAGTGAGCACCCACTGGAGAGGCTGAGCTCTGTGGTGTGCTTTGTCTGAAGGTTGTCCCCACTAGGAGCAGAGAGGAGTTTCCATGCTGGTGGAGAAGGATGCTTACAAACCCCACCAGATGCAGATATTGAGCTTACACCCACCAGCCCAAAGTCATTCCAGAGGCCCAGAACTGGAGAGAACCAGGTTTAGCTCCAGTTGTTAGCAAAAGCCTATAAACTGAAGCCTCTGAGTTCTAAACAAGCAAACTAAACCCCATGTTGTACATCTCCAGTATTGTCCTTCTCCCACCATGCTCAGATCCTCCTGACTCCAAACTTACGCACCTGCCTTGCATCACCCTGGCAGGAATCCCTGCTCCTACATCACACCCCAACGCTCTTTTGGGGTGCAGGGATGATCCCAGATCCCAACAGAAGCAGCTGGAAGCTCTGGGGAGCCAGGAACTGTGGGGAGTGAGAGCAATAAGATCTGCATGGAAAAGAGTTTGGGAATGAGCTCTGAAGCTTTGGTGCTTGACAAGCCCTGGGGCGATGAGCTGGAACCTTGAAGGACAGGGAAGGTAAAGGAAGCAAGCCTTGGGAGGATGGGCCAGGGGGGAATCTCAGGTGGAGGCCAGAGGCTGTGGGGGTTGGGAGAGGGTCTGCAGCACTGTGATTGGACTATTTACCTGGAGAGTTTTACAGGGGCCAGTGGGATTGAATGTTGTCTGTGTGTGCAGGTTGGGAAACTACTGAACAGGGGGACAGAAAGGGCTTGGTGGTAATAAAGGAGGATTTGAGTCTCTGCATCAGCTGGAGTCCGTGTCATGAAATGCCACAGAGGGGCAGGCAAACACTATGCTACATCACCTCTTACCTACTCGTTTTACCCACCCGACAATAGCTGGACTTGAGCAGAAGTGGAGGGAGAGAAGGTGAGATTTGTCATCTCGGCTGGCAGGCAGCACCAGATTCCATCTCACTCAGCTGCCTCTTACACAAGGAACACTCCTCTGGGAGCTCAAACCCTCCCCGTAGTATGGGTAACAAACAAGAGGAATTAGGGATGTGTGCACATCTACGGGGATATGATGTAGTAGGCATCACAGAAACCTGGTGGGATGGCTCCTATAACTGGAGTGTTGGAATGGAAGATTGGAGCCTCTTCAGAAAAGGCAGGCCTGTCAAACGGGGATGAGGAGTTGCTGTTTGTGTTAGGGATAGGCTGGAGAGTATGGAACTCTGTCTGGAGACAGGTGAGCAGTGAACAGAGAGTCTGTGGGTCAGGGTTAAAGGGAGGACAGCGATGGGAGACATTACTGTGGGGATCTGTAACAGACCTCCTGATCAGGGGGACTCTGGATGAAGCGCTCTATAGACAGATAGGAACAGCCTCATGCTCTCAGGCCCTTGTCCTCACGGGGGACTTCAGTCACCCTGATACCTGTTGGAGGGAGGGTATGGCCCAGCACAAGCCATCCAGGAGGTTCCTCGATTGTGTGGAAGACAACTTCCTTCTGCAAGTAATAGAGGAGCCGACAAGGAGAGGCGCTATGCTTGACCTCGTGCTCAACAACAGGGAAGGGCTCGTTGGAAATGTGACGCTCCAGGGCAGCCTTGCTTGTAGCGATCATAAGGTGGTCGAGTTTGAGATCCTCAGGACAGTGAGAAGAGCGTGCAGCAAGCTCACTGCCATGGACTTCAAGAGAGCAGACTTTGGCCTCTTCAGGAACCTGCTTAGTACGGTTCCATGGGACATAGTCCTAGAGGGCAGGGGGGCCCAAGACTCTTGGTTGATATTCAAGGATCACCTGCTACAAGCTCAGGAGTGTTGCGTCCCAACTAGAAGGAAGTGCAGCAGGAGGGCCAGGAGACCTCCTTGGATGGATAAGGAGCTGCTGAGGAAACTTCAAGGAAAAAAGAGGCTTATAAAAGGTGGAAGCAAGGACAGGCGGCATGGGAAGAATACAGGGATGTTGTCCGGGAAGCTAGGGACCAGGTTAGGAGAGCTAAAGCCCAGTTAGAATTAAACTTGGCTAAGGATGTTAAAGAGAATCGGAAGGGATTCTATAGTTCCATTGCAATTCAAAGACAGACTAGGGACAGTGTGGGCCCTCTCTGGAAGCTATCAAGAGAACTGGCTACCCTGGGTTTGGAGAAGGCTGAGGTTCTCAATGGCTTCTTTGCCTCAGTCTTCGCTGGCAAATGCTCCCACC